GCGACGTCACCTTCAGCCGAATTGCCCACGTCGCTGATCCTAGCATAAGTGTGAAGTGAACTTTTAGATAGAATGTTTCTCATGAATTTGCACAACTTCTTCCTGCTCTTTTAAGTATCAGAAACTTTGTAACGAGAGCGAAGGAAATGTAAAAAGTTGATTAAGTGGATTTTATGTTTGAAAAGAACCAGCAGAACTACGTGTAAACTTCCAGCCAATCCGGTCGAGGCCACAGGAGAGGCAACACGTCGTCGCCGAGTGCTAGTTAAAAAGTGAGTGTAAACCCTTAACAACGGGGTTATATCTATGAAATATGTTGTAATGTGTTAGTTTTTAAGGTAAGGTGTTAATCGAATGGGTTTACATGTAACGTAAACGATCACATAAGGCAAAATCTGGCTGAAAAGGAAGGTAGTAGTGGGCGTGCCTTCTACAACTGTTGCTTCGTAGATGCCAAATCACGAATTGTTGGGGTCAAATAAGTTCAAGATAAGAAACAAACACTTGTATGTGGAGACTTGAACGTCCGCACTAATGCATTTTCGCATGTAGATACCTGTTTTGGAAACCTCAAGTGATATTACTGGGACGAGAGGAGTAAAAAGGCCCATAAAAGGAGGGAGCGAGTACCGTTGTAGTGGACCGTGTGGGGGAGGCGGTGCTGCTTAGAACATATTTATAATTAGAAGAAGCACCTCCCTCAGTCTGAACAGCTGCGACCCTAACGTTCTCTCATACAAATAGCAGGAGGTGTTGTATTGTTCCATCTTGCCAGTTGTGTGCATGTGTGTTGGGGTCAGACGTGGGGGGAGAAGGCACTTGTTGCACACCTGGATTAGCGTGACAGGTAAGGTGTGGGTGCCAACTACCTGTCATTCACACAAGGTAGCTGATTGTCAAGGTGAACGTGGAAATTTTAATGGTTTTTTGTTCGGTCCATACAATTTTAGTGATAAGTATGTACAGGATATGGTTAAAATTTGGGTGTTCTTGGTATTGCAGATTTGTGTTATATGGTTATCATTTACTACTTGTAATCTTTTGCTTAGTTATGTATTTTGAAATATTCTGTTATCATTCCATTCAAAATTATTTATACTAATTTTAATTATTAGGTTCTTGCCATTTCCTGGTTATTCAGTGCATTAGATTTTGAAAGAAAGTGTATGGTGAAAATTATTTTTTTTCCTGATAAAGTAGGAAAAATATTGTTTAGAGGTCAGTGCGTTAATCTTGGAAGAATTACATCTCGTAATTGTGACCAAATTTAGGTTTTAGGAAAAAATTGGCATTTTCAAGAGTTCATGTAGAAATAAATTTGTCTTCAAGATTTCTATTCTCCTTGTAATGAAATGTTTAGGTTTTTGTAGTGTACAGTAAACAACTGATCATATACCATTATATTAAATCTTGGTTTCAAAATGAATCCTGACATATCATAAATAAACTTATCAAAACCATAGACAGTACACACATATATCTCTTATATAAATATATGGCCTATATATATGCACATACAAATACAGGCCCAATTAATGTCCCCAATACTTTCAGTGAAACAGGAAATTCTTCAGAGTAGATGTTGAACAAATTCCGTTTTATATAGAAATGTGATAAATACAGTAGTGCTGCATTAGGGATCCATGATGCATTTCATGGTATTACTTGAAAAGAAAATTAAACAGGGAAATATAGCAAAGCACAGGAGATTGAATGCTGTTTTCGGATACCACAGATGTATATGTGGAAAACTTTTTGCAGGGAATGCCTGGACACGCATGCACATCCACATACATGTGCACACATACATATATTTACTTATGCTTGCATGTTCATGCATCTGAACAGTTAAACGCATACTTACACTTTTACTCGTACCTAAATTTGTACGCACTCAATAATGTGCTCTTACAGCATTTAGCTAGTTATAGTTTGCTGTGATTTATATAATAAAATGTGAAAAGTTCGATATCTGAAGCACGTATTTAACCCAAACCTGATGGGCATGGCATGTACGTACATGCCATGCCATATATGTATATATATGCATGTACGTACATGCCATGCCATATATGTATATATATGCATGTATGTACATGCCATGCCATATATGTATATATATATATGCATGTATGTATATGCCATGCCCACTATTAGTTTACTTTAGTAATTGAATGTACTTTATTCATTGTTTTTACACATGGATTACTCCACTTCTACTATGTCACCAATTACGAGTACTATTTGTCTTACCTGTTTACCCTTTTCCAGGATTTTTTGAAAATATTTTCTTATAATGCTACTACTAATGTCAACAACATTACAGTAATTATAATGTCTGCAATGAAAATAACACCATTGATATTGATAGCAATAGTAAAAAAAAAAAAAAACTTTTTCCCACCAATTCAAGAAAAGGTGAAATCAGATAACATCACATGGTCTACTAATTGACTTCTTTGTGGCTAAGTACTAGGAGAGCCATTTATGTGCTGACACATTTCACAAAAAAATTATAAAATAAGGACAGCGTTTTCCCTGCGACAATAAGTTAACATGATTGTTTGCATAATATTTACGGTAGCTATTGATTTTATGAAATAATAGTGAAGAATGCTTTATATCAGAGAATTATAGAGAACTGTTTTGTTTATAACGAGAATTTTGTTTGAAAGAATAATGATTAATACATATATAAATTACTGTGGAAATAGTTCCTTACTTCCTTAAGCACTCATGCTAATACATTTGCTTAAATGATAAGGTGTCTTCTCCTTCTTTGGAGTAGGCATTGTAACCAAATCTTAAAATAGTATGATTTTAGTAATAAAGCACACCTCATAGTTGTTTTCTTCTAACATCCATTGCTTATACATTTCTAAAACTTATAAGCTATTTCACTTAAGCTTACAGAGCCATGAAGTCATTAACCACAATGTGGAATTAATTAGTTTTATGTTTCATTGTAAATAGTTGCTTTATCATCCTTGACACGTAATAAGTTCAGTAAGTAGAGAAAGAGAACACAAAATAATCCAAATATATCACTTTAGGTTTTTCTATTGTAAACATATATAGCTCTTAAATAGAATTGATTACATTGCTATTGAGTTGGGTTTTAATTTTTTTTTCCAGTGGGTAAAACAGATACATTTTCACAAATAATATGTACAAGTTAAAAATAATTTATGCAGGATATCCCTGTACTGATCTCAAGCATACATTGTATGTTCTCAATGCTAAAATTAACCCAATGCCATCAAAATGAATGAAAAATGGAGAAAATGCTGTGCTCATTTTTTATATTTTATTGTGAAATGTCTGCACATAGATAACTCTGCTAGTGCTTAGCCTTATCTGATTTTACCTTTTGCGAATTGGCGGGAAAAACATATTTTTTACTAGTGCTATGAATATCGATGGTGTTATTTTTATTATAAACATTGTAATTACTATAATGTTATAAACATAGTAACAGCAAAATAAGATAATGTAAACTATCGTAAATCAAAGAAAATGGTAAACGTGCGAGACAGGCAGTACTAGTAATTGGCTCATTGGGACTTAGTACAAGTGTAGCCATCTATGTGTAAAAACAATCAGACAAGTAACTCACAGTGGGCAATGCCCGTCGGCATTGGGTTAATAGGCTTCCCAAAGTATATTTACTAAATTTCTAATTTTGACGTCCTGTAAATCTTAAGCTCAAAAGGCATGATTATTCTGTAATTGTATATATTAGAATGTATGCAGAAAAAAGTAGAAAAAATATTTCAGTGTGAGCACTTATCTGTAAGTGTTTTGATAGCTTTATAAAGTTCATTAAAATGCTATAAAAGAAAATGTACATAATTTGATGCTTCCAACAAATATAAAGTTAGCCCTTTGATTTCTGTAAATAGCTTATGGTATAAGCACATCAGGAATCTTATTGGAAAACAGCACTGATATGAACAGTCTTGAGTGTCTCGGTAGTTTGCAAACTCTGAATGGTAGAGGAACATGGGCTATACATGCCATTACAAACCCTTGTATGATTTTTTGCAATATGTTAAGTACTACTAGTCATGATTAAATTTGATATCCTGAAAATTAATTGTAAAGATTTCACACTTTAAGATTAGACAACTAAGCAGAATTTAATAAATGCATTTTTATGTATGTGATCATCATAATGTAGAATACTTTAGTGAATTGTTTAAACAGAAACTCGATAAGATTATCTTTTCAATATATACATATATGCAACTGTGTCCATATTGACATGTATCATCACAATAGTGAAATATCTTTGCCCATTTTTATGTTTTTAATAAAATTAGAAGGTTTTGACATATCAAGGATCAGTATTCATGCAAAAAATTCCAAGTAATCTATTTAGAATTTGTATATATATATATATATATATATATATATATATATATATATATATATATATATATATATATATACATATAATGTAATAAATGTATAACAAATTCTCGAAATGATTAGATTTGAATGATTAGCTAACAGGAATAATCTAAGGTTTCTGGCATGTATGGGTGTTTATGTATAGATGTATATTATATATCTAAATATGTAATATATTATATATTATATATATAATAACAATTAATAATACCAAATTGATCTATGTGCTGGATCTAAATAATAAATCTCTTGCAGATAACTAATAAGAAATGGGTTCCGGAGAAGGAAGTGGTGTAGGTGGTGGTACGGGTGCAGGTGCCGGGGCAGGAGGCTCGACAGGAACCACAGGGTCAGGGGGTACACTATGGCTTGTCCTCTGGCTCCTTTTGCTGGTTTTCGCTGCACTCTGGGTCGCTGGGTTCTGTGCATGGTGGTACATCATGCTCATCCCCTTCACAGTGTGCTTGCCACCATTAGCGGTAAGTAATAGTTTACTTTTCTCTACCAGCAAGGGAAAAAAGGGAGAAATGCATACTTTTGTTGCATTTTCTAGGTTTAAGATTTCATTGATTTTGCATCAGGTTTTTCTGTTTATTGTTTTGGTATATATTGATGCACTGACATAAGTTTACTGGAATTGATTAATAAGTTTGATATATTATCCTACTTCAGAAGCTTAAATGTAAGAATGAGAGAATATCTGTTTTTTTCACAAATGAGGGGGATTGAGCTCCTCTGCCTTTCCTATGCAATACATAAAAAAAAAAATGGTTTTGACCAAAAAGACATTATGGTGATGTTTTACAATGTAAAGCTCAAAATTTTTTCTTGTCAATATCTAAAATGGTGCATATTATCTTAGCTGTTGTTTTGTAAATTCCCTAATTGCAATTTCTGGAGTGCATAAATTGATGACATTACTATAAAGTCAATAATATTATTATTTTCTTAAACCCAATAACTACAGCTAGAATAGCAATGCAGTGTATTTCTTGTAGGGATTTAATAACATTCTTTAACCCATTCGCGCCGGGTAAAAATGAACAAAAAAAGGGGAAAATGCTGTGCTCATTTTTTATATTTCTTTGTGAAATTTCTCTACACTAGATGGCTCTACCTTACCTGATTTCACCTTTACTTGAATTGGCGGGAAAATGTATTTTTAATAGTGTTATGAATGTCGATGGTTATTTTCATTATAAACATTATAATTACTATAATGTTATAAACATTAGTAACAGCAAAATAAGATAATAATTTCGTAAATTAAAGAAAAGGGTAAATAGGCGAGACAGGCAGTACAAGTACAAGTGTAGCCATCTATGCGTGGAAACAATTAAACAAGTAAACTCACAGTGAGCCTGTCATGTATACGTGACGCCTGGTGCGAATGGGTTAAGAATCATATATAGGTATATTATGTCTTACATAATGCAAAATATTCTAGAACTTTTTATTTTTTCATACTGTATCATGAAGATGACCAGATTTCGTAACCTAGTGACCATAAAAATAAGGCCAACTTCCTTGCTAATGTAGGATTGTTAGTGTACATTGGCAGGTTGCCCATTTATGCCCAGTATGTTTGGTATTTCACACACCATTATAGGCACCTAATTGTTCCTAGCAAGGGCTCATAAGCAAGTGTTTGATAATATTGAAAGTATTCCTTTAAATAACAAGACTGAATCAAAATTTTGATGACAAACAAATGATACCAATATTATCATATAAAGACAAGGTCTCTTGTATTGCAAAAGGTGATACAACGAAAATATATTTGAAAAGCATAGCACTTAATGCAAAACCCATATTAAATGTTTCTTTTTAATCTAGAAAAAATAGGACAGTGTAGAAATTGAGAAAAAGTTGTGTAATAGTCATAAAGAACACATAGGTATTCAGTATAGGAAATAATCTGCCCAAAGTAGTTACTTATCAGTACCTGTGAATCTCCATAAAGTGATGTAGCCTTGCCATTTTGTACTCTGGAATGGTCAGTAATCTCTAGCATGTAATTCTGGCAGCATAGAGCTTGTAGATCTCCCCAAGGAGACATTTCCAAATAAGAAACCATATATGTATCTAAGTATATAAGTCTATATTAACCCAATCACTACATATTCATGGAATATCCCCTGTAGTTTTTTGTGAATTTTGTTACAGATGGCTCCATATTTTTTCAGCCAGCAAGGAGTCTATCAGTATGCTCTATTGACTGATCCTGATTTCCCCATTCCTTGAATTGGCGGGAAAATGTGTTTTTCTCTCTAATACTATTGATATTGATACTGTTATTATTCTTATTGATATTAGAATTATTAACTTGTTATTAAAATCTTGGCAATATTAACCCAGTGCTGCTGAGGACAATTCTGTGCTCATTTCTTATATGTTTATGGAATGTTTCTGCCCATAGATGGCTCTGCTAGTGCTTAGCCACAAAGGAGTCAATTAGTAGACCTTGTGACCTTACCTAATTTCACCATTCCTTGAATTGGCAGGAAAAACGTATTTGTTACTAATGCTATGAATATCGATGGTGTTATTTTTATTATAAACATTATAATTACTATAATATAAACATTAGTAACAGCAAAGTAAGATAAAGTAAAATGTTTTTGTAAATCAAGGAAAAGGGTAAACGGGCGAGACAGGTATTACTTGTAATTGGCTCATTGGGGACTTAGTACAAGTGTAGCCATCTATGAGTAAAAATAATTAAACAAGTAAACTGACAGTGGACATGGCATATATGTATATGCCATGCCCATTGGCATTGGGTTAAACACTCTGAAATAATACAAAAAATACAAAAGGCACTCTCCAAAAATCAAGGAAAAGGGTAAACAGGTGAGATAGTTAGAACTAATAACCGACTCCTTGATGACTAAACACTTGTAAAGCCATCTGTGTAAATACAATAAATAAACTTATATTACAGTGGGCATAGCATATGTTCTTGCCATCTGTGCTGATTAGGTTAAGTACAGATGTATTCACAGTGGCAAACTTTGTTTTTTTCCAAGTTGCTGGAATTGTGAGGTGATTACTTCCATTCCCCAACAGATTTGAGCTTTTAACTCTAAATCAATTCAAGGGAAAGGCCTGGCTTTAGGTGAACCTAAGGCCTTGCATTGTAAAGCCAGTGCTCTGTTGCTGAGATATACTAGTTCCACATAATCTTGTAGTTGCCCAAGAACATGAAAGGTCATTAATTATAATTTGCACCTAATCTATGTGCTGAGAATTACTTATGTTGATAAAATATCTATAATCATCTTTTTTTTTCCCCATAGGCTGTCACTGATGTTTTGCTTCGCGGAACGCAGCTGACATATTTCTGTGCTAAGAACATGATGGAACGCAACAACTTCAGTGAAGCGATGGCAAATGCTGCCACCACAGTTCCTCCTACAGTTCTTGTTGTACAGAGCTAGACTTTGGTATTGAAAGAGCAATATTATTATTATTATTGTTGTATTTTTTTCATAAGTATTTCCTCAAGTTCTATGTTCCACAAACTGAAAAGAATTTTTTTTAACACATCTTGTATAAAGATGTATGAATTATAGGGTGTAGTAGTTCCCTGTGATTATATCTAAAACAAGATATTGCACAGTAATTTTCCTCCATCAGATGGATGCTATGAAAAAATACATTTCAGTTGAAGGGAAGACCAAGTTTTAATGAGATTATATGATAACTTTCTTAGGTGCCAAATTTGCATACTTGTCTGGTCTAGCTGGAATATAGCCTAGAGGAGTACTTACCTTTTTTTTTTACCATCTCCGTATCTCATAAATTATTGCTCATTATTTCATGTTCAATTTAAAAAGTTGCTTTCTGATGTACATGCATTTATTTTCAGAAGTTTGCTCTTTGTAAACTGTTTTCTTGCCTTTTCAATGCTACTCAGAGTTTGATTTAGTCACTAAGCTGTCTCTAATGTTCATATGCAGTCCTTTATGAATGTTATGTACAGGAGAATAGATGTTGCATTTTTGTTAAAAGCTGTTACACTGTTAATAATTTTTATTTGAATTCTTTGCAGTAGATATCCAGCAACTGAAAGAAATGCTTCAGTCTTCCAATTGCTTCTAGAAATTTCACACTGAATCTTTTGTAATACCTAATATTGTTGATTATTAAAAGTCTATTTTGGTTAATACTTAGACAAGTCAGAAGTTTGTAGAGAGGTTTAAATATTTTTAATATTTTTTTCTTGACTAATGATAATAGGGAAAATGATTGAAAAGGGAAATCACAATAATATAGAAAAATATGAATGCTGCATTTCCATAAATGATAGAATATATACACATTTTAATTTTTTATGCTTTAAATTTATTTTTTCATATCCATGTTCTCTGAAACCATGCAAAATAATATACAATTTAGTGCTTTAAGCAAATACCAACCTTGTAACAAGGTATTGTTTGAATTTTTTTTTTTTTTTTTTTTTTTTTTTATACCATTTTGCATAAACAAATGGTATTTCTCAACTGCACAATATGTTAATAGAAGCCACATATTGGTACTTTCAACACTTCTATATTAAAGTTCAAATATAATTTTATATAAGTTTAAGGATTTGAAAGTTTTGCATACAACTTTTTCAATTTGGTATTTGTACTGACATACAAGAGAATGAAAGCATTTTATTTGGAGATAATTTTCTACTTCTGAAAAAAGCAAACCTTTTTATTCAATAAGTGAACTGCCATTATTATAGTAAGAGGATAATATACAGGGAATTTACCTCTGTTATTCTTGTTATATTAAAGAAACAAAGCAAAATCATCTTTTCAGTTGAAAATGATTCTTCTAACCAGTGTCATTTTTTATACCTAGTATGTAGTGTGAGTCTACTAATTAAGCAATTACAGAACATTTGCAGGTCCATTTGGGTTATTTAATTATTTGTTTGTTAAATTTCTATCTCACTTTAAAAACAAGCCAATGTTCTGTAATTTCCTTTGTAATTGAAGGCACAAGTCAATCAGAAAGATGCTTTTATTTAGACTGCCATATGTAGTATGGAGAAAGTCAGGACGAAAGAAAATGCTGTTTCTGTTTTTCTGTTTAAACATTGTTCCTGACTATGATGCACAAGTGCACTATAGTTTGAATTATACTAATAAGTTTTAGCCATCATTGCTGTGTAAGTTATAATGAAGCTCCATTTATGAATGAACTTGTGTAATTTTTTATGTGCATGTAACCATGTGCATCATCCTTTATAATTTTACTGGTGTTGAAAATAAGAGATTGACAGGTCCATGTATTTCAATGCACAAATTTAAGATTTGGGTATATTTCAAATATAGCAAGAGCCTGAAAGTGTTTCAGTTAGAAAATAAACTCAACGTCAAACAATTTTTTTTTTTGTTCGTCCACCTATACAAATGGAAAAAGATTGTTATTTTATGTTTGGAATTAGTGTTTGAGTATAGTCAAGGGAGTCTAGCAAATATGTGAATTTTCTTGATCTTCACATTCATTTACTGACATTATGAAAAAGTATGAAACAACTTCATTTGGGTTCATAAGAAAACAAAATATGATGTGATATGAGATCCTTCTA